TCCTCGGCGGAGACGAACGGAGCTGAGACTGAGATCAAAACGAAGAGGATGATTGCGTTCAATACTGGAGCCATCGCAGAGGGGTAAGGAAGAGCGAACACTTTCTGGCCCTTAGTAGATAGGGTTTGGTGTTGGAATTTAGAGGAGAAGAGGTGTGAGTTGACGGAAACATCTATATATATAAACTGTTTTACATGTCGGATTGTGTGTAATGTGTCTGGCAAAATTATTTAAATATTTTTAAACTTATTTTTATATTATTTTAAAAAAAAATATTTAATTAATTTTATAAAATAATCTGATACAGGACATTTTATAAAAATAATTTTTTTGATATATATATATTTTTACGGGTGTGGCTATAAGAAAATTTTTATTATATAATTTTTGTATTATTAAATAAATAAATATATTTGAACGGTCTGTTTCGATCTAATGGTATTGGATCTTGGTTATAACTGTTCAATTCCAATGGATTGCACGATTGAATTTCACGAAATCTTTTCTCTCTCTATCCCAATTAATCCTGTAAATAATTACAAATTGTTTTAAAAAATAATAATAATAAATAAATATATTTAATATTATAAATTTCATATAAAATAAAAAAATTAATTATTTAAATAATTAGTTAAATTGTATAAAAAATAAAATAAAATAATTATATAAAATTTTTATTTTTTGACTTTATTACTTTGGAGAATTTTCAAAGTGTTGTTTAATGCATGAGGGAGAAGGGATATTTTTGTCAAGACCGTACAGGCTGCCACGTGGTCAAGCTTTAGCCACCTGTTCACCCCACGCCATCTGTTCAGTCCATGCACGCACTTCAAGCAGAAAATGGGCAGCAATATATGAGCAAGTTTTATTCTTAATTTTTAATATAAAATTTACATGTTATTTAATAAATAAATATATTTAATATTATAAGTTTTAAATAAATAAATAAAATTAATTATTTATCTTATAAATAAAATTATATAAAACATAAGCCAAATGAACAGAAGAAAAGTAGGTCAACTTGAACACTATGTTCATGATAAAAAAATCTTAAACTTAACTCTTATAAATAAAATTA